AAACTTTCTGGCACTGAGCCCCTTAGGAAATGGTGTAAGCCATTATGCTCAGCACAGGCCCCCAGACTCCACTCAGTCACTCTGGAGAGTGAGGCCCAGGGCAGAGACAGTGATGAAACTACCACCAGCAGTAGATTTTCCAGCACCCCTTTGTCACAGAAGGAAGTTCAGATGGGCAAACAGATGGTAACAATTCTCAGGAACTGAGAAGGCCTGGATTCAAATGGGAGGGCAAGAGGTGAAAAGGACTCACAAGCTTAGCCATGGAAGCTATCTGGAAGCTATTTGTCAAGTCCTGGAGAGACAGGCAAGGGCAAACCCCAGCTGTGCTAAAGATACGGAAATCTCACCCTGGAGCCATTAACAGCCCAAAGCCCAGACCCCACTGCACCAGGGGTTACACACTGGTCCTTGGTCACATGTGGTGAGTGCTGTTCTGCAGCCTCCGTGCAAGCAGTATCAGCCCAATGAAAGCTGCCAATGCCCAACCAAAACACCAGTATTCAAATACACAGCAGAAGGAAAGATGGTCTTGATATTACACAGCTAAGCTCAGGTCGAGGCTCACACTATACCCAAGCCACTTTCAGTGTCAAGTAAAGATGAAGTTCCACTCACCATGAACAATCCAAATGTTAGCACATTAGCCAGCCTTTTTCATCCTAGTGTCTCAATGCTTTTTAAATAATGCACTAAGCCTCCATAAGAAAATGGTACTGATACTCTAGAGGGGAAGGCACATGAGGAATGGCTGATGTCACTTGGCTTGTTCAGCCTGGGGAAGAGCAAAGACCTCATAGCACTCTGGTTCCACTCACCATGAACAATCCAAATGTTAGCACATTAGCCAGCCTTTTTCATCCTAGTGTCTCAATGCTTTTTAAATAATGCACTAAGCCTCCATAAGAAAATGGTACTGATACTCTAGAGGGGAAGGCACATGAGGAATGGCTGATGTCACTTGGCTTGTTCAGCCTGGGGAAGAGCAAAGACCTCATAGCACTCTGCAACTTCCTCATGAGGGGAAGGATCTCTTTGATGTCACTTGGCTTGTTCAGCCTGGGGAAGAGCAAAGACCTCATAGCACTCTGCAACTTCCTCATGAGGGGAAGCAGAGGATCTCTTCTATCTGGTGATCAGTGACAGGTCCCAAAGGAGTGGCATGAAGCTGTGGTAGCAGAAGTTTAGGTTAGGTACTAGGAAAGGGTTCTTCACTCAGAGGGTGGTTGGGCACTGGAACAGGTTCCCCAAGGAAGTGGTCATGGCACCAAGCCTGGCAGAGTTCAAGAAGCACTTGGACAATGCTCTCAAGCACATGGGGCTGACCTGTGCAGGGCCAGGAGCTGGACTCTGATGATCCTTATGGGTCCCCTCCAACTCAGGGTATTCTATGAATCTATGATTCTGTCTACTCACACACACAGGCAAACCATGGCAGGAAGTTCTGAGTAAGTTGTGAAATCTATCCAGTGACTTCACAGTGTAGAAATATGCCCATGTACTCAAACTCTCCGCCTCATACTTTAAAATTATGCTTTCCATATCAGCCAGCTATCCACACATAAATGAGGACAATTTGTACTGCTTATTGTATCACGCCAAAGCTGCTGTTCTCCAGGAGATCACTCTCCCTGCAAATGCTACACTGACTTCCCAAGCTTCTGTAAGCAGATTTCAAAGGTGTTCCAGGCAGTCCCACTGAACAACACAAGAGGATGGATCCTTTACTGCTTCTCTATCTGTTTACACAACATGCCAAGACCAATTACCCTGCTGGGAATGAGCTCAGCATCTCCAAGAAGTCTTTGTGACACCCTGGACTTCCTTACATGTCAGCTGGCCCTTGCATTCACTGGTGCCTTCACAGGATGTCTCTGCTCTCCTTGAGCTTGTGCTCTTGCATTGCCAAGAAAGCCAGATATGCTGACGATAACAGGGTGGCAGCAGTTAGAGCCTTTCTAGGACACGCACAGCCTTCATTAGCCAGCAAGCAGTTGGCAGCAGGGACATGTCTGTCCATAGACCATGATCAAGGGGTGCTGGGAGAGTGCATTCACTGCAGCAGTGTGGGTGTCTGCACAAGCCAGGGTATTTCTGCCCAATTAAGGGAAAGAATAGAAGCCTTCTGAGCTAATCTTCTAGTCCTTTAGAGAAGTGAAGGAAAGCACACATTGAAATGCCCTCACTTAGCCTCCGCAGGGAGGGACAGGGTGGCCAGCTGACCAGCCAGCCAGGGTGGGAAATATACCCACTAACTGTCCAAACTCATGTCTGAGACACAGAGGGGCAGAATTACTTCACCCTGTGAAGCTGGAAAGGTATGGACTGGCACTCAACCAAAACAGGACTTTTCAAACCTGCTCCTGTACAGCCTTCCCTGCTGTAGGAGGCTGAACTGGAAGGGATGGATGATGGAGATTCCATTTATTCACAGGCCATGAAAGAACAGCAATTCCCTAACTCTTTCAGAGAACTCAGATTGCCCCCAACCCGCTTGCCTCTCCTAAATTTCCTCCTCTTTCTTACCAAAAGGCACCAAATCCCTAGACCATAGGGAGATATTTGGACACCACATGTAGACCCATGGCCTTCCTGCAGAGCTGCCTTTTCTGTTCAACCCTAAGAATAGCTAAAGCATCCCAACACAGAGCCACTCCACAACATAACTCTCTGGTCCAGTGCTCCATAATCACCCAAGAGAAGCACTATCTGATGCAAAGGACTCGGCATCTCTTCATCCATCCCTGAGTTACCACATCATACCCCCAAAATGTCCTATCTCTGAACACATTTGCTTCTAGCACAAATTAATCTTGCCTGATAGTCTTTGTCATTTGTCAGCTGCACAAAGCTGCAGGAATGGGAAGTAAGGCTCAGGGATAAGAGTGAAAACCACATCTGCTGTTCAAAAAGATGTTTATCTGATTAAAAAAAACCTTTTCAACTGCATTCTCATGGGCAAGCACACAAGAGCCCAGATGAAGCCTTAGATTAGCCTGTTTAATATTACCATTTCTCATTTGCATTGTGTACCTGACTAAAAAACACACAATGCCAAATGCTGCCTGAGTGGTTAATAAGAGACATTTTTGTTGGAGAATGAAAATAGACCAAAAAAAGAAACACCCTACTCCCATTTTACAAGTGGGGCATGGAGGCACTGAATGATTTTTGTAGGAGAGAGAAGTACATGTAGCAAGCAAGGAAGTTAACCAATTAAAATTATAAAAATACAAATGACCAAATGCTTAAAAATATTCAGGCTGCATCTCACTTTGCATATGTGTGTCATGTCATTCCCCCCCAGTACACTTTCTTTCAAATTAAAACCACCAGCTGACTATCCTTCCTTTATAACATGGATTCCACAATGTGAAATGACATCTACATTTAAAAAAAAATAATTAAAAAACACATCAGCACCTCCACTCCAGATTTCCACTTCTTTTGCAAAAATCTGTGCCACAATTAATCCAGATCAGGAAGCAAATTATTCTCAAGGTTTCCCCAGAAAAAAAAACATCAGTTTGGAAAGGTTATTTAAATTAGCCCCTAACCTTCACCAACACATTCACCAGGAACTTAAGGCAGAGCAGGTAGGTGCTGTGCCTGGGATCCAAATCAGAGAAATCACCTGGGCCAAAAGGAACATTTCTCTATTTACTCATGCACACTGAAAAAAATCAACAAAAAGAAGGCTGGGCACAGGCTCACCAGCTTTCTTCTTCCCTCATTAGGATGTGAGACTAATTAAAGTCTGTCAGTATCAGTAGAAGATTTGGGTGATATGAAATGCAAGACTGGGCCTTTTGAATGTTCTGTGAGCAGAAACTTGGCTAGAAGGCTGAAGAGGGGGTGAGGAAAACTGGTGAAAACACAAGTCTCTGCATTATGTATTCATGGGATGTATGCTGCCAGCAGGACTGAGAACAAGCAGCAATGTAATGGGGAAATGGAGAGGTCTCACTTTTATAGTTCTTAGAAAATAAATACATAGTCCTTTCTTTCAGTGGGTCAGTATTGTAGGCTTAAAGGAGGTGTTGTTAGCAAGGTTAAAGCTAGTACATCCAACCAAGCAGAGGCAGTGAAATTCTTCCCTAATGAGAGGAAATTCAGAACTGAAAATAATTGTTTTTAACTTACTGCAATTTACCAGGGCCAGCAGATGTCTGCAGATACTCTTTCAAACTGACACTATACCAGTGCAAAAAGAAAAACAAATAATGAAGAGAGCTGAAATACTAACTCTACAGCGATGCCTTTTGAAAGAGAAGCACCAGATGGGAACTGCACAGGGCAGACTGCTCCATCAGTACCAGGCATGCCCCATTCCCAAGGCTCTGCAGAGACGAGGCAAACTCCTAGCATTTCCACACCTCAGTCCCAGGCTAGCAAAAGCTATGAAAAATCAAAAGTTACTAGATCTAGAGGAATCTGAAAACAGTTTGTATTCCTAAAGTGTTAAGAAGGTAAAAAGCACTGTTTGACACTGCTGTACAACTCCTAGGAGGCATAAGGAGACCTGGGCCCAAGGAGGTCAACAAGTGTGGAAATAATTACCATCATCAAGTCTACAACCACTTTCATCAAAAAGGTGGGGTTTTTTATATATCCCTAAGCAATTTATTTATGTTGGAGTAAGTGATACAGGTCAGATCATGGCAGCAGGGGTAACTCGATAAAAGTAAACTCAAGTGATTTTGTTGTTCCTGTGACATGTAATGAACCAGACAGTACAAGTGCTGGGTAGCAAGAGAACTTGCTGGGTAGCAAGCCCAACTGTAGCAGGAGCCACTCAAGTATCAGTGGGTTTACTTCTCAAGAGAGGTACCTACACTTAGACCTAGTTTATTCTAGACAGACAGCAAAAGTACCAGATATGCCCCTGAAGACAGGACCACAAGGAGCAACCCTAAGAATTTATTGAGTCCTGCCTGTCTTTGCTTACAACACCTCTTTTTCAAGTGATGCTGCTTTCCTCATGTGAAATTCTGCCTTACCTGTTGCATTTTTTCCAGGTCAAGGCTGGGCCTGCTGACCTTAGCCCCACATCCTTGTCGATGTCTCTTACAAGGCATAACTTGCTCAAGGCCTGCCCCAACACTAGTGAGGATTAAAGGTCTGGAGGCTGGGCTCCGCACCAGGGGCTGGAGTCTCTTGGGAGGGGAGGCACTGAACAGCACAGGGCTTGGGCTGGCATGCAAGCCATCAGCCTGCTCTGCCACAGGCCGGAAGGACATAGCACACAAGTTCTTCACTTCTTCATCACTGGAGGAGGTGTTGTTGCTGTCACTGCAGCAGGCAAGCCTGCTGACCTGGGACCACTTCCGCTTCTCAGTGGCAAACTCTCGGTTGATGCGCTCCAGCTCCTCTTCTGAGCTGTGGCGGTCAAGGCTGGCATGGAAGAGGGCTCGAACCTTGCAGCATTGGTTCTCCTGGTTCTGGAGCTGGTTGGTGGCCAGAGGGGTCAAGGTACAATTCCGTCTTCTCTCTGGTGGGAGGAGCAGATACAGGAGTGGCAGAGCAGATGTGTCCCATGCCTTAATAAATTTGGCCTGTTTTCTCCTGACATGTTGTCCTCCCAAGCAAACTTCTGAGCTGCTCCCCCACCATTTCTTCCCCAGAGGAAACACCTCCCAGCTGAATGCTTCCCTTTGGAAGCTGCCAGACCTTTGTTTGGACCAGACTGCTAAACATCCCCTTTCAAACTGTCACCTGGAAGTCTAGTTCCAGGGGCAGAGCATGGACATGTCACCCATCTCATCTCCTGAACATGGAGAAGACATGATCTTCCAACTGTGTTGTCAGGCCCTTGCCTCTAGCTAAAAAAATTTAGTTCTAGTGACTAGTTCTCAGGACAGAAGAGACAAGTCAGTTATGTCATTATAAACATCACCTTCGTGGCTCAAATGAGATCTGCTTTTTGGGGATAAAAGTCCTCTATTACAAGATTTGTCAAACAGGTGAGCCTGCATTCAGCCCTAGGCTGCTCATGCTTTACCTGCTCTGCTGAGCTCTTTCTATGTTAAGCCCATGGAACAGGGATTTGAATTTTGACAAGACATGTCCTGTGGGTCTGGAATTTAATTTTTGCCTTTGCTTAAGAATCCACTTGAACTTGAGCACAGGGCATGCACAAATGGCAGAGACTTAGCATAGCTCAAGAGATGCATTTACTATGGTTTTCAGCTGCAGCTCTAAACTACTTCATATCAGATCCAAAACCAATAGCAGAGCACCTGTCTCTCCTCTATCAAAGACCCTGAGCTAGATGGAAGTAAACCAACAGTCCAGGAGGAAGAGAGAGCTAATAAGATAATAAGTCTGTAAGAATGAGGAAACTGAAGGTCAAAACTCAACATGGCAAGGATGAAGAAGACTAGAACAAAGATGACACAGGAGCAAAAGCATGGAATAGAAGCTAAATTTTTAGGCCCAGCTTCACTGCTGGCACAATTGTGCACCATCTCTGCCACATGTTTGAATAGAAGCTAAATTTTTAGGCCCAGCTCCACTGCTGGCACAACTGTGCACCATCTCTGCCACATGTCTACAGCACTGGGACCTTAACACATGGCTAGCAATGTCTACCTGATAACAAAAGTGCGACTACAGCATCTGGTAACACCAACTTTTCCCTGTGAGGTCCCAAAGGCTTCAAGGCGACTGATTTAATGCATCTGGTGGTGGTAGAGGGCAGACTGGGAAGGAGGCGCTTGCAAGAGCACAAGTGAAAAGCAAAATGCACTTCAGCCATAGTATCCCAGGATCCTCCTATCTCATCCCTTTACCTCTGTCGATCTGAGCAAGTTCCTGGTTTTCTCCCTCAGAGTCGTCGCTGTCCTCATCACTTGGGGGATAGGAGATCTAGGGGACAAGGAGAAAGAAAAGGCTTCATCGTGAACACTGAACATTGGCTTGCTGCTGCCCAAGCCACTTCCCCCACCCTCTCCCCCCTGTATCCTGCAGGCATCCATCCCACCTAACCACACACATCCAGCCATAGCACCTCCCTGTGTACATCTCCCAACCTCAAACTCCCCTAGTATCCACTTACTTGCAGCAACACAAAACACACAGCCTACCACTATTTCCACTGTACTTCACCACCAAGTCTTTCCCAAGCACAATGAACATATGCTGCCTGCTCTTTGCTTCCCAGACATGTAGCTTATAACCATCATAGCCTACCACATCCACATCACGTGGAATCTCCAAAACCCACTGCTGAAGTGAAGACACATCCTGTCAACAGCACTATCATCTTGCAAGGCACCCACAAATGGAAGCGGCACGTTAACTTCAGCTGTCCTGTGCATGTACCCACACTTCCCCCTTGAAGGTTCACACACAAGCCACCACAGAAGAGACTCACCTTGCATATCTACAGGTCAACACTGAAGAAGGTAATAGAAATAACCCAAACAGGACTGCACAGAAACAAAAACAATACCATGATGCTGTCCCCTCTAGGACAGAATCTTACAGTACCACTGAACACCCTTAGCAGCTCAAAGAATAATGACAATTCACATGTTCCTTATCTCAAGAGTTTCCAGGAACATTCACTCTGTGTTAGCCAACGGACTTCAAACCACTTGCTGTATACACAAATACCCACTTACTTGAAACATGTTCTAACACTGGACAAACTTGGCAGTTGCCTCTAGAGAGGGTTGAGAGATCTGAAACCAAGCTTTTGTAGGTCAGACAGACCACACTGCTACTGAGTTTCCTACACTGATGAAACCCTACCTACCTTGTTCCTAAAGTGACTTTTGTTTGGCTGCATAGAACATACCTGGAAGTTATTAGATCAAATCTCTGAGCTACACAGCTTAGTTTGTGTCTCTGGCAACAGCCAAAAACAAATGAATAAAAGGAAAATACATTACTTAAAAGAAACCTTTATAAGAAACAGTTCTGGAGTAAGATGATCAGTGCAAGACGAACTTCACTATTCCTTACAGCTTTTTACTCAGAATAACAACAAACATTGCCATCATTCTTAGCTGTCCCACAAGCTATTTGCTCACAACAGAATCCAATAGCAACAGACTTCAAAAAGTTAAATGCTGTGCTTCCATTTTAAGTGTGTTTAATCTGCTGTCCTTGACTTTCATAGAAGATGAGGCAGCATGCAACCATTACACTGATATGGGCCCATTTCAACTCCACCACCTTAGGGGAACATCCTTGGAGTGTTTCAGCCTCCCAGAGACACAAAAGAACAGCTACACTGAACTAGGTGCCTACGAAAGACATATAGCTGATGAAGAGAAACAATAATAATGAAGAAATTCTGATTGATACTGAAATTGACAGCTATTAAGTCAAAACACCTATTTTGTGACCATCCTCCAAGACTGTGTTGGGGGTTTTGTTCCCGTAAAAGCGTGCTGACATCTTTCTTCTCCTTCCCTTTCAACCTACCTTTTGCCCTTCTATATTTACATTGCCCTATAAGAAATCAGAAAAATATTTTCCTTCCTTGCTAGTCATTAAACTACTTTTTCAACTATCAAAGAATCAGGCAAATGGCACAGATTTATTCCCACTCCAGATATTCTTGAAGCAAACACAGGACTGTTTTTCCCACCACAATGACGATTTTCTTGTACGTATTCACACACATGCATCATTTAATAAAGGCAGCTGGCACTGAGGAACACTGCCAAACACACAGACTTCTAGTTGTCCCCAGAACAGGTATAATACCTTGTTTATACCATGGTAGTTCACAGAGGGGACAGTGACACTGAGGTGCCATTGTGCTAGCTGCTGTACAGACAGACAGAGGTCCTGTCTCCGTTACAAAAGCTAAGGCTCCCATTCTAACTTGAGAGGTACTAACCTTAGCCTGTGGCTCATTCCCACATTAAAAAAAAAACAACCTTTCATTTGGACACAGCAGGGTTTTCAGTGAGGTTTAGCAGCTCTGCATGAGAACCCTATCAGCTTCAGTTTTTTGTGCTACATAAACGTCAATACATGGCATGGCACTGCTTCCAAAAAAAGAGGCAACGACATCGAGCACATGCAGGTCGAATGGCTACTGCACAATGTCACTGGCTTGAGATGCTTAAGATAGGAGTTGGATTTGAGTCAATGATTGACATTTTGAAGGCCTTTGCGTCTACTGGTCCTGGGCTTCCAAAATATTCACTCCACCATGTACAAGTGCAATTTCAACCACAGAATTGCAGTATATTTGGAGTTGGAAGGGACTCACGAGGATGACTGAGTCCAACTCTAGTTCTTATGTCTCATATGGATAACTCTCCTCTGCTAAATCCTTCCCAGTCTGACAGCCAACCCAAGACTAATCCCTTGTGAGTTGCCTCAAACACTTTGCTAGAGGCTTTCTTCAGAGCACCCGTGAGAGAAGAGAAATCACTTTTAAACAAGAAGATATTGAGTCCGTGGATTTGGTCCCATAGTATCTCTCAAAGAATTAAAATGGCAGGACAATATGAAAGGCTTCATGGCAAAAATGGGCTCCCACAGCCTTGCCAATCATCTTCCTGATGCCAGCCATGGACTAAGCACCTGCTCCTTAACCAACTACAACTCTTACAAGCAAGATATCAAATGCTTTTCAGAATTAGAGACATCTATTAAGCCACTCTTCTTGACACCCATTTTTTTTCTTTTGGAAAAGCATCATACTAGTTGCATATTTCTCTCAACATTCAAATTTTGTTCCACCCATTATTCCTACTGGTGTTAATATACCCTTGTTCTAGACAATACGCTCAGAAATTAGAATAGTTACATAATATATGACACAGACTAACTATAAAAAAATAAGTCTTAAAGTCCAATAATTGTCCATTTTGTGCATCAAGGAAGTACACAGATTATACATTGACTCTGCTGATCCATGATCTGCACTGTCTTTCAGAAGTCCTCTCATCTCTGATTCTGTGTGGCTTACATACATGTAAATACCCTCCTGCTTGGTCTTCATGTTTTTCAGTCATACATCATCATTCTCCTCCCACTTGCCATTTAGCAAGGATTTCTACTTTAGTATTGTTGTTTTCTCTTTTTATCAGTAAGTTCTTCCACAAATTATATCCTGGTTGTGGTAATGGAAGTCTTGCAAGCTCTTATATATGAGACTCTAGCTCCCACATTCCCTAATGGAGAACCATCATTCATGATAGGCTAATCATTAATCTTGCAGTGTGGAAAATTTATACATTAAATTCCTTGCCATGATACATCACACAGGCTAAGATTAATGGAAGATCAAAAAAAAGGATTTTGTGTCTGTATGGATAGCAAGACTTTCAAAAAATGATAAAGATACATGGAATCAAAGACTGACTAGCTGGGAGATAAACGCTCTCTCCCTTCACTCTTCCCAGGTTTGACCAGTAACACCTTCCTGTCTTCAAAAAATACTCCACTAAACACAGCACTATTGTGTTCAGGCCTCCAACCTCCCTTGCATAGTCCCTGCCTTATATTAGCCACTGATTTACTTTTGTCCAAGGCAGTACAGCCCCATTTTCCTGACAAATTCAGAACTGTGGCACTGGTATAGCAGAAAATTCTATCTCCATGTCAAAGATCCCATCAGACCATGACTTCATTCACTGCACACAAATTGCAGAACCGTTTAGACTGAAAGACACCTCTGGTATCACATAGTCCAAGCTCTTGCTTAAGCTGGGACAACTAGAACATGTCGCTGGGGCTATGCCCAGTACACTCTATACCTTAATGTGAAAAAATAAGGAGAATAAAATAAAATCTTTAATTCACATAGATGTGAGAATGTTTACAAGCCATGGCACAAAACAAGCCAGAAAACAAAGGACAGGTGCCCATCCACCCTTCAGTGTTTCATCAGGAAATGCATCAGATAGCAGTCTCCTCTTCATGAGGATCTCAGACTTATACCTGGGTCCTTCAGCTCCATCACCTGACATGCCTTCTGTCAGGCTAAGGACTCCTTCCACACCAGATGGAAACATGAACAAACTTCCTCATGCATTTGATTTTGCAGCCATTTCCAGTAAGGAAAGATGGGTTTGTGTAGAATAACCAGATGGTATTTAAGGATAACTGAGTATAAAGCTTATACCTTTGAGGGAGTGTTAACATGAAAGACAAACTAGCAGATATAAGAAAAAAACTAGACAGAAAAATATGTGTCCCATCACACTGCTGGTTGTCAGCTAAGTAATGATAACTATCTGCAGTTGGAATTGCCCAGGTCCTAAAGGGTCCCATCACCCTTAAAGATTAAAGCACTGAAATACACCAGACAGTAAAGAAACCCCACCCTGTAAAAGTGAAGTTCCTCTTGGTTTTGCTTACAGAAGAGAAATTAACCTGCTATCATACGATCAAAAGTAATGACAATAACAATCATCTAGGAGCTTACAAAGGAAAAGGAATACCACTTCTAAGGCAGAATAAAATTCTCCCAACAAGTTTCACTTAAAGGTTGCATTGTTCAAAAAACCTAAAACATGAATCTCATGGTTTGGTGCAGTGGAGGGTGTATTTGTGGGGAAGAGATAATACAAAGATACAACTGACCACAGGCAATCCCTTGTTCCCCACTTGAATCAAGAATGCACACAGGCTGGAGGGCATCTTGCTGATCTCCCTGTGGGAGGGAGGAAGTGATTTTACCTCCAGGGAGGTGCTTACCCAGCAGAGGCCAATGCTGCCTGTGCTGCCACATATAATGCTGTTTGTGATAGAGACTGACTGCTCCAGGGAATCTCTGCAACTAGGTAAAGCCCATTCCAAGAGCCCTGGAAGGGGAATTTGTTGAGCTGGTCTCACACACTGGTTCCTGTCACAAAAACAGAAAGGGATGATGAGCTCACCAATGACTACTGATA